GGACGACTGCTCCCCTTTAATTGCTTCATCTCCAAACCTATCTGCCAACGAGCCGTCGGACTTTACCAGCAGACATCAGGAGACGACAAGGAAGATTCCCTCCTCACGGAGACGAACAATTCACTGAGGGAAGCATCCAACCCGACTCTCCCCCCCCCCCCTCAATATCCAAGGTTTACTGCGTCGGAGTGAGGGGTTGGAACAAGCCGAAGATTCTGACCGACCACACAATCAAACACCAATTCAGAGCTGGTGCCAATCCTTCAACCTTCAAACATGTGCTGCACTCTCATTGGTGGAAAAATAGCAGCACAGCGAACAAAAAACAATCGATTAGTTGTTAATCGAGTAATTACAAAATGGGACATCAATGATTTTGGTGTGATTGTTTTGATAAAAATGAGCGCAAAATTTTATCTCTACCGAGGGGGCAGGAAACCACAAAATTACCTTGAATACGGGGGGTATTCATTGGATGAAAGGGATCGTGAAAGAGGACACTAAAATAGAAAGTATTTCTTTCGACAGTTTCATCTTAGTATTCATCTTTGGTTAAACCCCTGCCATCAGGAAAATTAAAACAGACATCTCCAGGTGGGCGGACCCACCGATACATCGAGAGCAGGTCATAGTATCCCGACTTCGAACACATCATACAAACATCAACTACAAGGGAGACGGACCTTTCAATAGGATCTGTGATCGATGCCAAATTCCACAAACGGTGGATCACATTATCTGCCACTGTCCGAAATACGAAGCACCAAGAACCCGCTACGACATCCCGAGAAGCATCAGCGATGCCCTCGGTAAAGATCCTACCAGAATTACAGCCCTTCTAGCTTTCCTACGGGAAGCTGAGCTGTTCGATCTAATCTGATCACCTAACTCACCATCATCATCATCATTACCACCATACCAGATCACACTCGGAACCTGAATCTCACAACACCAACCACCCACATCAGCAACTATACAGACGAATGCAACGAAAATGGAATTCTCCAACAAAATGACAGTATTAAGACAGCCACTAAGCAACTAAGGGACCCCTTTCGGAGCCCCACCCTCGGAGGTTCCCTTCCAGGGCCACCAAATTAAAAACTCCGTAGCTAAAAACTCTGTTTCTGGGGCCCCACGCCCTTTTTCGGAAATCCCCTCTGGGATCCAAACTATGTTGTTAGGGTAATTTCCCTCTGGAATTCCCACCCCCCTCAAATAGCGGATTCCCCATCTGGGATTCCCAGAGACGAACCAGCCCAAGGCTAAAAGCACAAACGAAGTGACAGACGGAGCGGCTCGAAAACTTTGGTGACTAAGAGCAACCGTAACGGTCGTTGTCATTTGCGCGACTATTTTAGAGCAACCGTAACGGTACGCTGCTAAACTCATTTTAGCAGCCCTCATCATAGCGCAGCTACCGTATCGGGGGTTGCCATACGAGTAACTAAAATAGCAGTCGGCTTCTCGGTGAGAAGCGCGCTACCAAATTTAGCAGCGCGATAGCAGCGCGGGAGAAAGGTTGCTATTCGTTGCTATCGTCCAAATGCTCACTACCGGTACGGACAAAGGCAAGTAAATTGATAACCGCGATAGCAGCGACCGGTGTGGAGAAGAGTGACTAAACTAAAATGAGAGCGCTGTGCGCTGTTAAAATAGTCGCACAAATGACAACGACCGTTACGGTTGCTCTTAACAGCGCACAGCGCTCTCATTTTAGTTTAGTCACTCTTCTCCACACCGGTCGCTGCTATCGCGGTTATCAATTTACTTGCCTTTGTCCGTACCGGTAGTGAGCATTTGGACGATAGCAACGAATAGCAACCTTTCTCCCGCGCTGCTATCGCGCTGCTAAATTTGGTAACGCGCTTCTCACCGGGAAGCCGACTGCTATTTTAGTTACTCGTATGGCAACCCCCGATACGGTAGCTGCGTTATGATGAGGGCTGCTAAAATGAGTTTAGCAGCGTACCGTTACGGTTGCTCTAACCTGCTATTTCAATTTTTCAGTGTACCACATGGCAACACCACTGCTACTGGATTGTACCAACAATCAATACGAAACTAACGATTTTAAATTGGCTCAACTTCTTGACTAGCCTATTGGTCCCAAGCAAACGATTAACGTACCCCATTCTAGTCGAAATTCTACTACTACACAATGTTTGTTTTGATTCACTATGATTGTTTGACAGATAAAATGAGGGGTTAGTGGATTTTCGAGGGGTGAATCGATTAGCTTGGGACCAAAGAGAGTACCAGAGCTGAGCCAAAAAGTTGAGCACGTTATTTCGGGACCTTCTTGTCTTAGAGTTACCTCTATGATTGTACCATATGGCAACACTACTACTGGATTGTACTAGCATTTTCACCAAATGTATTAGAATGTTTTGGTTCTATCTCTTTCACTCTACTCAAAACTGAAATGCATAAAAAATGACAAAATGATACACTCTTTGCACACTGTCAAATAATCATTGTACAAAAAATCAATTTTGTTCAAATCAAAACAAAAAACCACATTATTTTAATGGATTTTTTCGCCAGTTAGTCGTCTGTCACTTCGTTTGTGCTAAAAGTCTCTTTAATAAAGAAAAAAAATTAAAGGGTTGTGTCCTAGACACGACCGCAGTATGACGTAGAACCTATCTATCTATCTCTATCTATGATGCATGATATATGCATTTAGGTTAACATCCGAAGACCCTCCTTTTTTACATATTCTGCACAAAACATACTTTCTAAGCCCCACAACTGACAGGATTTCCCGCCATTTTATTATGAATGGGGGCGGGGCAGAACGTTTCTTTTATGCAGAATATCGAAAAAAGGATGGACTCATGTATAGAGGTATCAGATATATTTTATAGTCAGTTGTTGGTAATTCATCAAGTGTATGTCTCCTGTTGAGCAATTTTTTTTGAAAATGTTGGCTCTGCATGTAAAAAATTAATTGTTTATACATAATTGTGGTTTGCTTAAAATTTATTTCCCGGAAAAAAAAATGATCGTCAAAGTCCATGTCTCTTTCGGGTTATGTTAAGGGGGGAGGGGGAAAGGTTGTTAAGGGGGAGGGGGTTTTACATGCACGTTTTTTCAAGTCTCATTCCTCATTGTGGTGGACACGCCGTGATCCACCTTTGGCAGCTGACTTGGTCTTGCTTGCTGCAGGACCTAGTGCCACCATAGAGGTAACTCTAAGACCAGAAGGTCCCGAAGAAACGAGCTCAACTTTTTTGCTCAGTTCTGGTACTATCTTCGGTCCCAAGCTTGTCGAATCACCCCTCGAAACATAGGAAAAACCAATAACCCCTCATTTTATCTGTCAAACTTTCATAGCGAATCAAAATAAACATAGTGTAGTACTGGAATTTATACTAGAAGGTGGTGCGTTAGTCGATTTGCTTGGGACCAATAGGCTAGTCAAGTAGTGAGCAGGCATGGAAAATCATTTGCATTCATTTCATACATTCATTTACATTCATTCGCCTCTAACTTTTTTCAACAACAGTATTCCGCAAAATAAATGGAAGAGCTTTTGTAGGTTTTGTTATTAGCTACAAGTTTTGCTCATAACTCAAATCTGTATCTCTTATGCATCGTGAACTAGAGCGGGCAGAACTTGTTACTGTTTTTCAGTGAATGTAAAATACATTCACTGAAAAACAGTAGTGGCTTCTGTTCGCTCTGCTTCGTCATGCATTAGAGATACGGGTTTGACTTGTTAACCAAAGTTATAGCTTATAACAACACCTACAAAATTTCTTTACATCATTTTGCGGAATGCTGTTAAAGAAAAAAGTTAGAGGCAAATGAATGTAAATGAATGCACGAAATGAATGCAAATGATTTTCCATGCCTGGTAGTGAGCCAATTTAAAATCGTTAGTTTCGTATTGATTGTTGGTGCCACGCCGTCCGAAGCGGTTAATAATTATGAGCAGATACAGGAGAGCAGCGCTGATTTATATCTTTTCAGGTTCATGCAGAATGATGTGCAACCAAGTGGTATTCGTTTATGATGACTGGGTTTGGGAAACAGGCTTATTTCATAAAAACAGTGATAAAATTATCATTTCAGTACCAACATTTCAAAGGGGCGTAAATGTTTTTGTAAACAATGGCTTTAGCCGACAATTTCTCGCAAATAAAAGCTTACATCTCCAAATTAATAATGCTAGCTGATAGATGAAACATTCATCTACCTTTAAGTGTCATTAATTTTCATGAGTGAGCTTTTATTTGCGAGAAATCGACAGCTAAAGCCATTGTTTACAAACGCAATTACCCCCCTTTGAAATGTTGGCACTGATTTCTACATTTTCAAAATACACCACATACTAGAGTGTGTTTGCCTGTCGTTGATAAGCTTATCAACAGCAGCCGTGGACCCGAGGATTAGCAACCAACAAAGAAATCAGTACACCCCAGATGGCATGGGATCGAAACTAGACATTATATGCAGATAACAAATCACAAATAAAATCAGCAGTTGTGTATTGATATTTTGATTTTCCAACAGAAATCGAAATTTTGATCTGGCAACACAATCGATATTTTTACATTGGTAACGATTGAGCAATATTTTGAGAAAGATCTATATAAACGATTCGCGATTAGACTTTTAGCATCTTTACAATTATTCATGAAATGGTGACGGTCGCTATCGATTTTTCATATGAATGGCTTTGAAGATCGATGTATGGAAAATTAAAGAAAATTAACGAAATGGTTGGTCGAGATCTGATCGATATAAGTGGTTTCTACTCAAATTTGGAGAGTTTAGAAATAGCGTGCATAATCGATGTTTCATTTTCATCCCGGGTATAACAGTTCACCGGAGTGTGTTTTCAGGGCTGCCCTCTTCTCAACGCAAACTGTGCTACAACGCAGAGTTGTCAAATCTGCCAAAATTGCGTTTTGGCGATTTCGCTTTTCGCCTGGCACCGCTCAAACCCGCTGGGCAGGTACTCGCGCATTTATCCATTCATACACACGGTCGCCATTACGATTTTCGTTCCTTCGAGTCGCGGATTGTTCGGTCGAGCTAAAAACCTAGCGAGCGAGTGTCGCGAGTGCTGTGTAATAAAATCAAATATCGGTACAGTAGTGGTGCAGAAAAAAAGGAATATGCATAGCAGCAGCAGAAAAAACAGTGAAACATCCAATGGTGTGCAGCAGAAGTGCAAAAGTGCAATGGAATCGCAGAAAATGCGACCCTAAATAATAATCCGCTTCGACCCGCGATGAAACCAGTGGAAAAGTGCGCTACGATGAAGCCCGGCCCCGATGGTGGCCAAATAGTGTCGGACAGAGCGCTCTCAGTGGCGAAAAACGAGTGTAGTAAATATTGTACGCAGCAGCAGCAGCTGCAAAAGAAGGAAGAAAAGTTCACTGGCAGCAATAATAATAGTGCTAGTGTTATTGGTGGTGCATCGAAGATAGAACCCTGCACGGGAACGGAAGTGGCCGTGGCAGCGGAAGCTGCTAGTCGTATTAAAACAACAAACTTATCATCGTCATCCGCCGCGGTTGGTCCGAATTTGGCCGCAATAGAAACCACAACCAAACCATCCAAGACGATGGTAGTGGTGGTGGTGGAGGAGGAGACGGCGGCATCGGCAGCGACGGCTGTGTCACAGAAGGGTGAGAAGGCGTCGAAAAATCACGTAGACACTACTACTGGCAGCAGCGCCGCGAAAACGTCGTTCTCTAAAAATAATGATAAATGCGACACACCGGCGAAGGATATCATCATGTCGTCCCGTGCTGATAATGGTAAACGGCTTATTTTTTCACCCAGCAGCAATACCTATCTTTTATTTATTATCCCCGCGCGAGTCGAACACCCAAAGTGGGGTGGGGACGGTGCCTATGACTTGGCGTAGCAATCTCCGCCGTAGGACCAATTCCTGTATTCCTACTGGCATGGTTCGAGGTTCTTTTGATCGACTGATTATAATGCCTCAGTAAGTTTTCAAGCATTTCATTTGCGGGCGCTTCAGGTTGGAATGTTTACAGTTCTGTCGGAAGAAGGTTTGGAGCGTTAATTTTGAGACATTCGACATCCTTCAAGATTCTCTTGAAAATAATTTATTCATGCAAGAATTCTAGAACATTTCTATGTGATTGTATGCAGTTCTATCATGAAGTATGATGGCTGAGATTTAATGACCGCACATATCGTAGTTCCTACTCCATGATTGACGAAGCTAGCAAAATTGCACAATAAACCAAATTACTGTAGTTTGGATTTAGCTGAACAATTCTCACTGTACAAGTTTTTGAGGCGCATTACTTTATCAATAATGGCGTCGGTCAGGTACGGCATACAAGTTTTTCGGTATTTCTGCATGTCCACGATGAATAGAAAGGAAAAAATAAGATCTAAATTCATCTTGGCTAGTAAATTTTACCGATTCACAGTTCTTTAGGAGGCTGGGTTTGAGCTCTGCTCAATAAGCAAAAACGGTCGCCACCAGGAAACCGAGCCTCTTATGATGACATGAAGCTATTCAAGTGAAATGACGTCCACGAAAGGAGTTGAATGTGTTTTTGAACCTGGATCGTGCATAAGCCATATTTTACAGAGAAACGCAAAAGCTCATAGACTCCCCTTTTATATGCATTTCCAAATTTTACTGAGCAGTACGTCTATAATGGTTTTAGAGTTAGGGAGTTAGTGATAACAATACTTTAGAAATAATGAAAATTTCCACTTAGAACATCATCTTAGAAGTTCTGTTTAGGGTATCTAGAAACAACTTCTAGGACGATGTTCAAAGTTTTTCGAGGAGATTCAATGACGGGCAAAAAGTACACGGACCTTTTGAGGCAATTCCGGAAGACATCGATGCATGTTCAGTGGGTGTTCCAGGATAGGCCGCGATGTCTTTTGAGCCAAGTTGAGAAGATTTATCCGGCGAGCTCTATATATAAGAAGTGGCTCCGATGCACTTTGCCTTCAGGGATAAATGTCCAGCATTTTAATAACAGATTCAGAAAATCTCAAATTTATTAACAAATGGAATTCGACGAAGCAAGTTCTACATACTTTGAAGAGCTGAAGTTTCTGAATTTGCAGATCTAAACTTAGTCGCGAGCATCGAAATTACGAGGCCGGTGATGCAAACAAGAATGGGTAGGCGAGAATTCATCAAGAGGGGATTTGAAGGAAGTGTAACCGTGCGCTAGAAGTGGTAGGGGCCTGTTCATAAACTACGTAGACAGTTTTTTGGGATTCTTGACCCCCCCCCTCCCCCTGCGTAGACAATCGCCCATACAAAAAATTTAAAATTCGTATGGACCGTGGATAATTGTCAACCCCCCCCCCCCCCTAAACTGTCTACGTAGTTTATGGACAGCCCCTAGGATACATACGATATTTAGACCAGAATGGGTGTGGGGTAGAACTCAAAATTTTCACTTAAAGTGAAATAACTATAGATAAATAAGGTTTGCATTGTTGTACTAATGAAACAAATACTGATTAATCCAAGTAGATTCAAACGCATATTCATACTTTCTTTCTGTCCTATACTGTTAGATTGTGCTGCATAGGCAGGCGATACCACTTGACAATATCCCATAAGCCATATAAGGTGAGGCGTGCAGCGGTTGGAATGGGTTGGGTATCATTTCGGACGGCTTGTTCGCTGGTAGTTGATCGAAAAAGACAAACATCTCATCGATAATAGCCTTTTGAACACCTGGAACTTGACGTGATCGCTCAATCAGGTTTTGATTCTCCTCGGTCACTGTTGTTGTTGTAGCACATGGTCGTAGATCTTCTGAGTAGTTCGCAACGCCATTACTTGTATCTGAAGCGAAGAGCGGTCTTAATCAGGCTTCTCTTTGTGTTGATGAAAATAGCTTGAAGATGGTATCCGTTGACTTGGTGGTGGTTGTCATCTTGGATCATCGTTACCATCCATGCATTCTGTAACACTGATATCCTGGACAGAGCTATGCAATCCAGCAAATTTCTCAACAGCACCACAAGTATCACATCCGGAAGAACTTCAGCACTAGTTTTCAGTTTCTTATGAAACTACAGTTGAAAAATCAAGCTGAACATTGTATGAGGTCCTACGCTACATTGTATCCTCTTTGAATCCCAAGGCCTTGCAAAGACATTCCAAAGTATTTTCAGCATACATATCCATTAAAGAAGCTTTTATATAGCATCTAATAGAGATCTCCAAGCGCAATCTCACGAACACTAAAATCCAACATCCATATATAAAAATTAATAAGAAAATGCCAAAAAGGTATCGAGATATCACAACTACTTTAAAAGGTAGCACGCGGTCTCACGTACGACAAACACAACAAAAAACGGTTTTGTGCTCAAGTTATTACAAAAGAGAAAGTCGACGAAGAGAATCGATCAATGTTACTTAGGACCTAATGCAATGTTCAGCTTGAAATATGTGAAATAAATCGGCTTCAACCCACCGATGATGACAAATTTCAACACAAAAATCAGGTTGCTATGTGTGTTTGATGTTGATCGACGTGAGTTACTCAGAGTTCCTCAAAATTGCTCAAAATTAATTCTGATTTTACTTAGAAATACTCAGAGATAGAGATATGCGGAGAAAATGTTTTGAGCCAAATGAACTGTCAAAATCTGAGCCAATCGAACATTCCAATTAGATTTTTTCCGGGGATTTCTTATTCTTACTAGAATAAATTTGAGGGTATTGCAATCGAACAGAAATTAAATCACCTCTATGTTTTGTGTGCTTCTCAAATTCAACTAGTTTTTGGAATCAAAAACAATATTCTAACTCTATTGATTAATTGATCTTCGTTGGTTGATGAATGGCACCAAGAAATGTGCAAAATATTGCGATGCAATCAATTATTATTTTGCATGTAAATCGAATCAAAAATACAAGTAATTTGAAATGCTAGCTTCTAGAAAGGGTTGCAAGATAATTTAGGAAAAAATCCCTGCTGCCGAATTGTATTTTGTTTTCTCCGTCTATCTCTCCCTCTGAGTATTTCTAATTTTACTCATGATCAAAAACTGTCTTGTCCCTTGGTCCTTTCTGTAGGTAAAATTTGACGAAGCGCTCAGAACATTGCTCGCAAAGAACACTTACTTTGATAAAACATGAAAATGACAGCTAATTTGAGACTTGTAGCTTCAACAGCATAGTCGCAATGGACTGTCAAAGTTAGCAAATCCCTATTGGAAAACCCTTTACTAGAAGTCCATTCTATGCGTACGAGTATTGATGGACCGAAAGTGAGGATAACAATAACAAACCAATTGTTTTGGCAGAATCGAAAGTGAGGATAATAGTACGTTCAGACTACAGAGTTATAACATGTTATAGCGCTATCTTGATGGTGGTTTCTGTGTTGCAATTATTTGACAACCGTTATAACATGATATAACTCTCCAGTCTGGACAGCGTTTAACAAACTTCGCACTTGAAATGGGATTACGCAAGTGTGCGTGTTATAAACGTCAGTCTGTCCACGTTAAATTTCAGACACTTTTCCTTCAGTGTAGTTTTTGAAATATTTCACGAACTGCTTAAACGTTTTATTTACATGACAGCTGAAGCTTTCCACTTTATTTCGTGGTAGAACATGTTAACATTCTTGTTCAGTTGAAATGACGTCGAATCAAGTGGAAGTTCGCAAACGCATTTTGTACGAACGGTAGCAAAATCCAACGTTGTCGGTACGCGATCTCGCCAAAAAGCTAAAACTGCCGAAGAGTGCCGCGTTTAGTGTCTGTCTGTCTGTCTTTTTTTTACAGTAAGGAAAGCTTCAAAAGCCCGGCCTGTCCCTGTGTTGCGTGTTTGTTCTCCTTCTGGCACAGTGTGGGACTCTTAACCACTAAAACCTTACTCGCCTCTAGCCACTGTCTGTCTGTCTGTCTGTCTGTCTGTCTGTCTGTCTGTCTGTCTGTCTGTCTGTCTGTCTGTCTGTCTGTCTGTCTGTCTGTCTGTCTGTCTGTCTGTCTGTCTGTCTGTCTGTCTGTCTGTCTGTCTGTCTGTCTGTCTGTCTGTCTGTCTGTCTGAAATACGTGCTCGAAGACTTTCAACAGCTTTCGGGTTTGGTTTTTTTATACTGCAATGAAAAGGAATGCCTTGTAGGAATTTTCTTCAAGCTAGATTAAAATTCTGCAAATAATAGTTAGAGCTTTATTAAGAATCAGTTTCTTTTGGAATTATTATCCATATTTTCTTCCTCTGGTATTGAGTTGATCGATCAACATTTAAGAGATTTTCGGCCGCTGGTAATTTCAGGATTGTACTCATATCATCATTAAATTTGCCTTATTTAATTCACTTTAAATCCTATTTCGGATTCCCTAGGAATGCTCCTTGAAAGTCCATAATCCAAATAATAGTCTCTTCAGAACTACCTTAGAATTCAGCTGTAATAATGTTTACAATGGTCTTGAAATACCTAAAATGTATAGTCAAATTCCATTGAAAAAGTCTAAGTAACAGCTATTTCAACACAAAGATCGATGAAAGAAGCTATTATCAAGTAAATGCATATTCGTAATCTGCATTAAAAATGGAATCTAAATCCAAAATTTCATCAATTTTGGTACACTGGAAGTACTCTAAATAGGTACGATTACATTTGCAAATATCAACATCTTAGTATCCCTCGTTGTTCCTTTTATGGGAGTGAGCTATCAGTTTGTTAGTTTAGTGTCAAACAGTGAAGTTATTATTTTGCTTTAAATCTTGATTTAAAAATGGGTTATGGGCTATGGTTCTATGGCTATGGGTTCGAAAAAA